AAAACGTGATTCTTTCTCAGGAACATCACCGAATGAGCACTTCCGTAGTCAAAAAAGGAACAGAGCAGGTAACAAATCTGTCTATTTTGCTAGAGGTGATGATGCATTAAGGTTGGTAAGTCATTAAGGTTGACTCTGGCCAACCTTTGACTTTTTTTCTACCACCTACGTGCCCGTCTCTGCTCCTGCCACCTTCGCTGTCAAGGAAGTAGGGCTTCTGTGGGGCCCTCCTACGAGCCAGAAGAGCTGCAGCCCTCCCCATAGCCATGGCCGGAGGAGAACCAAGCCCTGCTTTCAGGTCATCTTCTCCAGGTCTACCTTTTGTCCCTGCCTTTCCCCACCGCAAGACCCCAAACTCAACTACAGCCCCACTGCGGTAGCCCCACGGAGGAACGGGCTGAGGGCGGTGCCTTCGGGGGAAAGGGAGGAGGCCAGCAACACGGACGCCAGCCAACGCCTCTCTCCTGCCTCCCAGACTTGCTCTTCTGCTGTTGAAAAATTCAACTCTGCCTTGTTTGCAGGGAAATCTCCTGCAGGCTCTGAACATTTCAGTTTGCATTTTCATACCAGGCACATTAACGTGACACCGCAGCACAAGGCTGGGATTTGCTGAAGACAGCAGGTGGTCTCTAAAGAGCTGATTAAGTCTGAAAAGCTTTTATTACAGGTAATGAAAAAGATCTCGCGTGACTTGTATTCTGGGCTGAGTTTGAAGGTGACAGGGGAATAGTATACATGACTTGTAAAATGACAACAGAAAATTTCAAGCTTGGATACTTTAAATTAGTTAGGCTTTTGTTCGAGTCGTCCTGATATTTGCATGTATTTTAAAAGACAAAACTGTTTTCACAACAGAAGCGTATTTTTTCTCCTGAACTGGTGAAACAGATGTATTCGCGCGGTCCAAATAAGATTCTGCCAGCTTAAAAAAGTACCGCAATACTGATGATGATAACTAATAATATTCCTTCCCTTAAGGCAAGTTTAAAGGAAGGTACCCCTGCTGAAAAAAAAACTGAACAGACAAAAGGTCATTTTTTCCCTAAAAATTTCTGGTGAATTTGTACCAAATCCCTTGCGACACCACTGAATGTCAAAGCTGTCTCAAAACAAATACAGGTTTGCCAGTAGCGCAAAACATCTAAACAGGCTTAATTCAATCAAAAAAAGACATAAAGCCATTTATGTCTTCATAGTTTTCTCTCTCCCCGCCCCCCGCTTTTTAAAGTAAAAAATATCCACCCTCAGCA